AGTGTGACTGTGTACTCGTAAGGAGATCCTGGCAGTGGGAGCAAGAGTGAACCAAGGAGCAAGTTCCACACTTGGATGGCCCCACATAGAACTCAGAGCTTGCTTGTTAGGCCTCCTAGAAAGCAAACCTTCTTCACTTGGGGCAGATGTTGGGTGGGGTATGTCTGTCACTCTAGTGAGGAGAGGGAGCATGCCTTGCTCTGTCCCCGACTGACCTAGCAAAACATGGGCATTGCAATCAAGGAAAACCCAGGCCCAGATTTTGCCTTTTCTGTTTACTGGCTCAGTGACCTCCTCTGGGTGGTGCACTGTGTTTGTGCCTCAGCTTCCTGGTCTCTGAAATGGGGATGCTGACAGCGGCCTCCCAGTAGTGTTGACAGGAAAGCCAGTTCCAACACAGGTCCTGCTATGATATACAAAGTATTTCCTACCTCCCCTCAGCCCACATTTCATAAAATGTTTCCATGGCTAGAGCTGGAAAAAAAGGCATAAGAAAATCTAATGTTCTGATTCTGGGAGCTAGTACGTAGTGTGTGGGTTGGGGGTGGAGGTTATGTAAAGTGTGCCCAGCACACACCTTACTACCTCCAGTGGATGTATGTTTTCCTGCCTTCTCCTTTCCTGTGTTTGGACATAGTAGAAGTCTTTGACTTGTAGCTGTAAGAGACCCCCTATAGAGACCTCTTTAATTGTGACTTAAAAGGTGCTGGGCAAGCGGGTGGAGATACTTGAGTACCTCACAGTAGAGGCTTTGATTGGGGGAGGGACATAGCAAAGACGCAGTGCGGAAAAGGTAGGGGGCTCTTGTGTGGGATTAGGGGTGGGACCAAAAGGCATAGCTTGTCTGCTGGGGGGAGAGGATGTAGAAAAATGGGAGGAACCTTTGTACACCGCGGACCTGGTTGGTGATGGGGTGGTGTGTTGGCAAGGGGGCGGGACCTCTTTCCAGTGCACATGCGCATCATGGTCTCCAGAATGAAGCTTTTGTTGGGAAAGCAGGAGGGACTTTTATTTGGTCGGTTAGGTCTTGCGCATGCGCGCCGCGTCTTGAGGCGGTGGGTGGTATATTAGGCGAAGAGGCGGGGTCGCCTAAGCTGCCGCGCTGGCATTTTCTCCTGGACAGGGAGAGAGTGCGGCTGCTGAGAGCCAAGCACAGCAATCCCGATCCTCTGAGTCGTGAAGAAGGGAGGCAACGAGGGGGTTGGGGTTGGGGCCGGAGGCAAGGTGAGATTAGCCCCCAGACAGGGCATCTGCCCCCTGGTGCGGCCCCCGCATTTTTATCCCAATCCTTTTATCCCGGATTCTGACTCCCCTTCCACTGCCTAAATTCCAAATCACATTACCCACCCGATCCATCGTGACTTAAAACCCCCGTTCGTTCTCCGAACCCATGTCCAATCCCTCCCACCGTTCCTCACAGAATCCTCCAGAGATTTCTCGACCTCGATCTGTAACAACTCCTCTGATTCAAAACCTCCATTAAACTTCCTAAATGTGAATCCACCCCCACCCCCACCCCGATCTCTGGATTCAGAGCTCTCAATCTGCTTTCCGAAACCCGATTTGAAGCTTCTTGTCAGCTTGTGGTGATTCCGAATCACCGTAGGGACGTTCGTTCACTTTTCCCGCCTGGATCCAGAGCGTTTCGCCTCACATCCAGCGCTTCATCCGCCCGTACAAACCACACCCCCACCCCCCCCCAATTCAACCTCTTGTATTTGCCTTCTGTAGTATGATACCTAGCTCCTCTCCCACAACCCCCAGGCTCCACTCTTGCCAGAGGGACAGGAGCCATGGCTCAGAAAATGGACTGTGGTGCGGGCCTCCTCGGTTTACAGGTGAGATACCCGCTCCCCACCCACCATTTTCCCGGCGTGCAGTCCCTGTCTACCCCCGCTTCGGGCCCGTTAATCGCCCCAATGCCCGGATCCCTTTTTTCTTTTTTTTCGTTTTGTGCCTAGACTTTGTTAGCTTTCAGATTACCAACGTTTATCGAATGGGGGAGGGGCGTCCCTTTTCAGCCTTGAGTCCCTGCTCAGAGAAAGGGGAGACCCTGTTAGTCAGGGCAGTCTGCCCAGAGAATGCGGGTTGGGTAAGAAACCATTTTTTTTCCACAGTCCTGACGCGTGTGGAGCAGTTTGTCGTGCCCTCCTCCTACCTCCCGACCCTCCCTTCTGCCTACGTTCTCCATTTGGTTCCATCCCCCTTTATCCTCCTGAACTCCTGGCTGCAAGTCAAGCCTCCAAGGCTCTCTTCTAAGCCCACTGAATGTTAAGCGCCACCCCACCCCTCACCTTGCTCCTGCCCATCCCCCACCCTTACCATGTTTCTACCCGGCCCTCCTCCCTTTGACCTTTGTTTGCTCCCTAGGTGTCTGTCTCAGCCCTCGGTTTCTGCATCATCCTTTGCCTGGAACTCTCGTGCTGCCCACACCTGGCCTCCTGCTCAGAGTTCTGAGACCCAGAAATTAAATTTTACCCCCTCCTGTGTTTGCAGGCTGAGGCCTCTGTGGAAGACAGCGCTTTGCTTATGCAGACCTTGATGGAGGCCATCCAGATCTCAGAGGCTCCACCTACCAACCAGGGCACAGCAGCTGCCAGCTGCCAGAATGCTAGTCCCCAGAGTTCACAGCCCCCAACTGCCAACGATATGGCTGACATTG